AAGTGTAGTTCTAAGTGTGTGTTTGTGTGTGAGTGTTTACCAGCGACATCTGGTGGTTGTTCGCTGGTGAACATGACACATATGCACGATATAGAAGATCAACGCGTTTATGAAGCGTTTGCTCTCCTCTTCATGAAGACACAACCTTTGCAGACGTGCAACTGATACTGTTCAGTCTGGAAGAGAAAACGTCTGAAGGGCAACTGGTAAAGCTATTCTACTTCCAAAATTGGATTCGAGGAGGAAAAAAAAAAAAGACATCTTTAGGATTTTACTCCAATTGCATTTGAAAAGAAGGGGAAGAGGAAAAAAGGAAGTTCGAAACAGGATAATAATACATGTTTCGACATGCGGAAAGCATTATTTCAAGACAATTGTGTTAAAAACTCAAGTAGTGATTTACAGCTGCCAGTTAAGGCAGGTCAGAAATCCCGAATAAAATTAAAGAGAGCTCTCCCACTCAGAGGAATATAAACCTCTTCCATGAACAAAACCACTTTCATTAATGAAAACATGAATGTGTTTTCCACTTTAAAGCTGAAGCGTGTTAAGTGTCACGTTCCTTTATCTTCATGAGCATTCAGTGGAGTGAACGAATGAACAAATCCTGCTTAAGAGTGTATAGTCTAGCTAGTATCACTCATAATAATAATAAATAGCGAATTAAAGCGTCCGAAAAATGAATCAAGGATCCGCCTCTCTTGAGGTTGACCACGAGTGAACGCCGGAAATCAGATATCCCGTCTGGCCTTTAACTCGCATGGCTTATTAATGAGGCTGCGGCTCAAAGAGAATAAACACGAGACGGCATTAATATGGATTTGCAGAACGTCTTTTTCATCATCCCCATCTCGAGCCGTCATTCCCAGAGAAACGGCACGAAAACCACATCGTTACGCCACCAGACTATAGTCTTGAGCTAATGTCAGAAATATGAAATCTACACAAAATTCAAGCGGGAGGGAGGGGGAGAAATGACAAGCCGCCGTTCATAACTTCACATTTTCCAGAGGCTAAATAGGAGATGAAATTATAATGACATCAAGGAGTGACCTAAAGATTCATCAAGCAGATATGAGCTGTATGGAAATGCTTTTGCCACTTTTATATGTATATAAAAATATAACTTTCAACACGGCTTTTGGGTTTTTATTATATTGTCTACAATAACATCATAATAGTTAATAAAATATACAAAAATAAACAGAAACAAACATATTAGTGATACAAAAATAAGTTCTGAGAGTTTATAATAGTGGAGTTTCTAATCTGAGAGAAGGTTATAATAGTTTTGGATTTTTCATTAGTTTTAGTTTTTATTTTCAAATTCAGTTAGGTTTTTTTGGTGGTAGATTTACTCGTTTTTATATTTTTATACTTTGAAATGGCTTAGTTTTAGGGTTTATTAGTAAAATTTGTAAAATAGGATATATGTTAGGTTCAAAATCATCAGAATAAATATTGTATTATAAAAACTTAACCAAAGAAGGGCTACTTTTACCATTTACCAAAACTACCATTTACCACTACCATCTACCCATCCTCAAACTCAAGTGCAACAGCCCACAAGATACCACCATTCAAGAGCCCCTATTATAGGTTTTTGAAAATGAGCTTTATGCAGTGTGTAACAGCTCTAAGTAAAAAACAAACAAAAAAAACATCCATCTGAAGCTTAAATCTAATACGGCACCGTGTTTAAGGCCGTTTACACTAGTGCTTTTTAGTTTTAAAACGGCGTTTTAGATCAAAAACGACTCGCGTTCACACTAGGGTTTCACCTAGCGTTTCTGAACATATCTCCGTCCGCACTACGCCACCAAAAACGTATATCACGTGACCATTCGCACACTCTGGGCATGCACGTTCTAGTATAACCAGGAAACATGTGTCACGCTCGGCATTTGGTTATTGTTAGTCAACAATCGCCGGTTGAACAATGAACGCGATTGCAAAGAAAGCAAGAGAGGTGTTTTTGTGGACAGACGACGAGGTTTAGTTGTTACTAAACGTAACAAATGAATAACTGCACAATGGCGACTAAAACACACAATAGTGCAAACAACGCTCCCATTTCTTTGTCCATGTTGTTGTTTACAGTGAAGGCTGGTCTGCTGTCTTACGTTAGCGTTAAAGCCATGTGTTAGTCATGTGATAGGGGCTTGACGAATAAGGGAAGGATACGCAATGACACAAAAGCCCCAATCAGGTAGCGAATCTCAGCACTAACTAACCATTCTTTAGCGAAATATCTGACTCCGAGTCAAATAAATGATAAATGAAAAGGTTCAACCAACTCGAAATTTAAACTTAAACTCTGAGTTGATTTACCGAGAAATTAAAAACTCAAGAGTTTTCGGTTTCAGAATATCAGATCCGAGTTAGGTCAATCACCTTTGAGAAGACCTACTCCGAGTTAAGTGCACACACCGCGACTATAAAAAGGCATTATCAATGGAGCGCTGATATTACGAGTGAGCATGGCAACACTTTAAAAAAAGAGATCAGCATTTCTTTCTCCAGCTGAACTTGACGTGCTTATGCAAGGTTATAGCTAATATGAGCATATATTTTAAAAAGCAACTGCATCAGTGAAACAGAGACGGTTCATGTTTTGTTACTTTACAGACTTCATAAAAGTGACTTTGTTAAAGTGTAGAGCTGAATTTCCACTTTAAAAGTCAACAGAGCAGAGGTCAAGGTCCCATAATGCAATTCACAACCGGAAATAAATGGAAAACACTTGTAAATCACAAAATGGGGAAACTGTTAATTAAAAGTATTTTTTTACAGTGCAATTACTGAGACAGGAACTTTATTTTATTAATGTTATTATCTATTTTATTATTAATTATTATTATTATTATTAATTTTTAAAAAAAATTTAATCACCACCTGCTACCAGTTTTAGCCTCATATTTATCCATGACAGGCCCACAGGCCCAAAGCATTCAAAGTACAAGCACAAAATATTAAAATCACCAATATTAGATAATTAAATAAACGTAAAGATTTGTGTCGTCATCACAAACCCCAAGCGGACTTCTATAGGGCTAGTAAGATCAAGTTGGGAACAACATTTTTAATGACCGCTGGTTCTAAAGTTACAAAACTGTGAGTGTTAGACAAATTTTCACACTTAAGCCAAGAACATGAATACACCTTTCATAAATGTGTTCCTCAAAAACAAATCTGCCGTACTGACTGGAAGAGGAACAGGTGCCATGATCTGAGTTATGGTCCTGCTCTATGACATCGTGTTGCCATTGCTCTCCTGTGACTAAACTGGTCCAGCCTGACAGTGCAAGTGGGTGAAAAGCAACTCATCTTCATGGACAATGTGTCCCGTTGAGATATCGGACTCTCACTGACTCAGACTAGAGGAGAAAACCACAGGAACACACTCAGCACAAAAGACTCTGACACAGTGCTCGCTGTAAAACACTGAGGTAAGGTATCGATGGGTACCATGAAAAGAGGGTAGCGTGGGTAAGAAGGCCTGCAGTGTGAAAATCTCTGAAGGATCCAGAATAACTACCAAAGAAGGATGAAGACAAAAGCCAGGGGGTGTGTAAAGGTAAGTACAGATGGTGTAAAAAGTACAAGAAAACAGGTAAAGTAAAAAGAAGCATAGTAAAATTGATTAGACCTGAAAACAAGAGTGATTTCAGCTAAATAAGGATGAAGAGAAAATTAGAAAGGTGTTGAGATTAGTAAAACAAGGATGGGAAAAAGTCATTTAAAATCAGCAAGGTAGAGAAGAGAAAAAAATTAAGAAGGAAACAAATAACAAGAAAGGAAGGGATGGTAGGTATAATTAAAAGAAGGATGGACAAATAAAGGATGTAAAGAAGCAACCAGGAATTTAAAATCAAAGCAAAAAAAGGATAATGGATGAAACAATAAGACAAGTGAAAAAATAAAATAAAATAGGTAAGAGAAAGGCAGAAAGACAGAAAAAGATGGATAGAAAAAAAGACAGAAGGAAAGACAAAGAAAGCAAAAAAGAAAAGAAAGATGGAGAGGCAGAAAGGACAAAACGGATAAAAAAAGAAAGGACCAGAAAAAAAAACAAAGAAAGACAAAGAAAAGAAAGAAAGAGAAAGAAAGAAAGGACAGAAAGGACAAGAGGACGAAAAAGAAAAAGGAGACCAAGAAAGAAAGAACAAAAAAGAGAGAAAAGGACAGAAAGATGAAAAAAGACAATAGAAGAAAAAAAAGAAAAAGAATTAAATAAAGAGACAGAAATAGAAAAAATATAAAGAAAAAAAGACAGAAAAAAGGGCAGAAAAGTCAAAAAAGGAAGAAAAAAGAAAACGAAAGATAGAAAAGGATGATAAACAAAAGAAAGAAAGAAAGAAAGAAAGAAATAAACAGAACAAAGAACGAAAGCAAGGACGAAGAAAATAAAAGACGAAAGAAAGAGAAAAAAGGACAAAGTCAGAAAACAAGAAAGAAAAAGAAAGAAAGAAAGAAAGAAAGAAAGAAAGAAAGAAAGAAAGAAAGAAAGAAAGAAAGAAAGAAAAAAACGAAAGAGGACAAAAAAAGGATAAAAGAAAAAATGAAAGAAAGGACGAAAGAAAGAGAAAGAATAAAACATAAATGACAGAAAGAAAGGACAGATAGACAGACTGATAGACAGACAGACTCAAACCAGAATGTAAGCAGATAAAAACAACAAGGTTTGACAGAAGGTATCAGACAGGAAGCCAGCAAACGAGTATGGAGGCAAGGAAAAAAGATTTCAAACCACTAAAGCAAGCAAGGGAAAAAAGAAAGGCCATTATTAACTGGGAGTTAAAAAAGCTGAAGTTGATAGCTGTATAGAACCACTTTGCTCCCTGCCTGAGCCGCCAGCTGGGATATTTGCATAAGCAGGAAAAGAGAGGATGGATAGAGCGGTAGAGAGAGAGAGAGAGAGAGAGAGAGAGAGAGAGAGAGGGAGGAATCCTACCAGACACTCCCACAACCTATAAAGCACAACCATACTGAAACACTCAGTGAAACCACACGTGGGTCTCAGCACGGGGGAGAGCCAGCGCTGCACAGAGACAGAAAGCCGGAGGAGTGTGTGTGTGCATGTGTATGTTTGAGGATACAAAACGTGGATTTCAGAGCTGATGGGATGTGAGTGAGGACAATCTCCAATATCAACCCGTCAGGATCAGTTCCCCAAGAGAAATGTAATACTGGAGCGCAACTGTACCAGAGGACCAAACAAGTGCAGGACTCATTGAGATTCATGCGTTTGGAACTTTAGAGCAATTGCAAGAAGCATTCGAGAGCCTTGTGGAGAGCGTTAGAAATCAAGTTGATGATGTCTTTTGCGATGGTGCGACCGGCTCCGAGCCGATACGTGTATTCTGACATCTCAATGATGTCGGAGGATGATGAAAACGGCAGCGAGAGCTCAGGCTCGGATGATCGCTCATTTCACCTGGACACTTCAGGGTATGATCTTAAAGTTGGAAGAAAGAGGAAATCCAGTGTAGGGGGTGGCGGACGGCTGATTGGTGTAACACCAACCATTCCCACCGGGACAATCGGCCATGTGCCAGAGATCCGTCAACGCAATGCTGCCAATGCACGAGAGCGGGATCGCACCAACAGCGTCAACACGGCATTCACAGCATTGAGGACTCTCATCCCTACAGAGCCTGCTGACCGGAAGCTGTCCAAGATCGAGACCTTGCGGCTGGCGTCCAGTTACATCTCTCATCTGGGGAACGTGCTGCTGGTGGGTGAAGCTTGCGGAGATGGACAGCCGTGCCACAGCGGAGGACCCTCCACCTCAAACTACTACCACCACCACGGCTCACCCAGCCGGGACTCGGAGAACTCGCAGCCCAAACAGATCTGCACATTCTGCCTCAGCAACCAGAGGAAAATGGTAAGTCAGACACACGCAGGTGTTCTCCGTTAAAGGTTGTGCAATGATCTGGACAACTTCAAGTCCACAAACAAGCTGGAGAAATAGTGACAGAGGTGTAAAATACTGCTGAACCTCAGGGAGGGATGAGAGCAGGTCTGATTTATTCCCTGCAAGTAAGGTCACTGAGGGCAATCACTATAGCAAGTCCAAAACTACTGAAGTTAACTTTAGCAGAGTATCTTTCAAACAAGTAGGACTTGACAAACAAGACTAAGCAGCTAACTTCTAAAAAGAGCACTGCAAAAACTTGATGATAATGTTTTGAGGCATGAGCAATCATGGCTGTAGACGGTCTGTCATTGATTTTCCTGAATTGGCCAACTGTCTTTTACTGAATCTGCGTCGTAACTCCAGTCTCCCCGAGATAACGTTTGACACCGAAATCAGTTCTCGGTTCTCTGGAGCAGAGTTATGACTTCATCCACATGTCCTTTTCCATCAAGGGCGATATCTCTGTTACAGTGCACTGCTACCATGACCTCATAGACAGATGCAGTGAAAGATCGGATTAAACGTAGCCCGACGGAAAATATCCAATCAACAAAGAGACTGTCAGGTAATATACAAACACATCATCCATCTCTTCCCCCGGCGAGCGTGACTGCGCTGACCTTGGCCCGTTGAGCCAACACCGCAGCACATTAAAAATAAAGCAGTAAATCACGCTCTGGCTGTGAGGAATACAACGACACCAAACCAAAAACAGGGGGGAAAACTGTAATTTAAACTTGCGTGGCGAAGAACTGTCAGAAGTTGAAATATAACACGCGCTCAGGACAATTACGCTGCGCCATGACACAAGAGCATTTTTGCTCAGGGTATCTCACCACCGCAACGTGAGCTTAATCCTGCAAAATCTGAAGTGCTTCCAGAAGCCATCGAGTTTTTTTTTCTTCTGGATCCTTTAAAGTCTGTAGTGAAGGAAATAAACAATGAAAGAATAGCAACAATAGCAGCAGCTGATTCTGCGGTGGATCCTTGGCACCGCACGGGTGAATTACAGCAAACCAAGTTTGGTCCATTTATGACAAACGAGCAAATGGGAGGCATAAATATGCAAATGCAAATGGTCCGTGATCTATATATCAGGCGACGAGAATCTAGGGAACATCTGCAGCAGGGTGTTTTTCCCCAAGTAGCCGTGCACCAACCTCAGCGTTTCACTCTCACATCCTGTGTTGTTCTTAGTCCCTTCCTCATTGCCCAATTAATATCCCTGTCAAGCACGACACGCAACCTGCGTGAACCTTCCTGAATCTTTCCAAGAATTTTCACAGATTTCTGACAGGAACACAACGGTCTTTGCACATCACTTTAAGCCAAGAGCATTAAGATCATTAAATGGTGGAGATTTATCTTGCAGCAAGAAAAACACTAAGCAAAACAGGAAAGCGAGAAAGAAATTAAAAGACTAATTTATATTTGGCAGCAGATTTAAATGTTAAACTTTAAAATACACATGATCAGCCTAAATCAGGGGTCATCAAACCTGTTCCTGGAGGGCCGGTGTCCTGCAGATTTTAACTCCAACCCTAATCAAACACACCTGAACAGGCTAATCAAGGTCTTCCTAGGTATACTTGAAACACCCAGGCAGGAGCGTTGAGGCAAGTTGGAGATAAACCCTGGAGGGACACCGGCCCTCCGGGACCGAGATTGGTGACTCCTGGCCTAAATAAACATCTGTGAGTCCAATTCCTGTAGTCAGACTGCCAAATTGGCCAAAAATTAACAACATAATGGACTTCTACTCTCTTGATATCAGTTCACCACAAATTAAGCATCTTTAACGCAATCAGAAACACAAGTTCTGTCATTTACTTGCACGTCACTTGCTCGAACCCTATTTCAGTTTCTTCTGTTGAACACAAAAGATGATATTTGGGAAAATTCTGGGACCCACTGACTCACCAACTATAGAAGTTAATGGGTGCCAGAATTCTTTACAATATCTTCTATTTTTATTTTAAAAACGCATAGGTTTTAATTAAGTGAAGGCTAAGTAAATGATTCATTTTAGGGTGAACAATCCCTTTAATCATCCAAATCTAATTCCAACAACCTAAGGAAATAAATCCTAAACTTTTTCACCAAGTACGACCTCAGAAAAAACTTCTCTTCAAGTACCACCATAAAGAGCAGTATTGAAATACAGTTAGCGTAGTTTGCCCAGTAAAGCAGCTACAACTCTGTACAGTTCAAAAACGTGGCAGATTAATCCCTATAATTAAGATTAATTATTATTATCAGCCACTTTAAACATTATACATACTTTGAATATTAACACTGTACTGTGCTTATATGTAAACAAACAAACAAACAAACAAAATATCAACGTTTATATTAAAATGTGCTTTTAAACATTTAAAAATGGTAGGCTACTGTTCTTAAAAAGTGAAAAACAAAACAAAAAAAAAAACTCCTGTACTTATGTAGAGTATAAATATTCTCTCTTTCTCTATATATGTAAACTATAACATATAATAACATATAGTGGTAGCCTATTCAGCAAAACCTGTGGATGTTGCTTGGAAATTATAAATATTTACTACGTCATCATATTTATATATAAATAATTTTTTAACTATATGTAGCATGTACATTTGACATAATTGATTCCTTTGCGTACCACTAGAAGGAAGCCCAAGTACCACTAATGGTACAGGCACCACAGTTTGAGATGTTAGATATTGTACAAACCACAAGATTGTACACAACGTACACAATACACACAAGATGCTTACAAAGCAAGTCTTTCAGTGACGAAAACCCTTGGCAACTTCATATTTGCTAAACTGTCTGTGGTTAAACTGTTGTTTAAAATCACATAGAAACCACCCAGAAACCACACGGTTAGGAACAACAACAGGCCAAAGGCCAACTCTCCCATTTAAGTCCAGAAGCTTAATCCGTACCAAACGAAATGCTAGATCTTTATAAGTCCAATCGAGAATGACGCCCATGTCTTCGGGATTCCAGTGGCAGGCAGATATTTGAAACAGACCGAGCCTTGCCTTTGTAGTGAGCTTTCAGAAGTGGCTCTGTGTGCTCCAAAACCACACTCGTCTCTTTTACCCCTACTTAGTGCTCATTACGCCGTGAAAGTATCGCTCAGCCAAGACGCGCAGCTTTATTGTTTCTAAAGAAAGAGCAGGACGAAATAAAATGCACACACACACACACACACACACACGTAAGGGGAAAGACGTCGAGGTATAACTGAATTCAAATGTTCGGGTTTTCGCCAAAGTCGAGCGGCTGTAAGCTGACACAGAACAGACAGCTGCGTCGAGATCCTCCAGCGAACGGGCGAAATGGACGTTTAAATCAAACGCAGACAGTCGTGCAGCAGAAAACTGCTACTTTCGCCTGCTAAGACATTCAAGACTCAAGCAGATTTGTGTCTATATAAAAATGATCGATTTCACCCTAAACATTCTCCAGCTTTTGATTCATCTGGCATTTTTATCTGCATTTATTTTCAGGGTTGGATTGCATCTCGAAATTTGCACAATAACCAGCACTTTCTACAAGCTCAGGGAGACAAATATGAGAATCTGATCTTCATTTTGAGTAATTTTGACTCTATTTTCAAGCTTGTTTGCTTAAACCACACTATCCATTAGCATATTTGGTTTCTCGCAGGTAAGGATATAGCTTTAAATAGATTGCATAACCAGACTGAGGCAGATGGGGCGTCTTCCTCGCCAAATAAAAGCTAACGTGGGACGTATTTTCTGCATAATTATCGAGACTTCTCTCATTACGAGCATATGGAAGAGTTTAGAGCCCTTCACTCGAACGGGAGCCCGAACATTTGACACGATATGAAATTATTTGATGTGTTACGCTAAAGAGCCAACATATTTCCCCCCCCTTAAATGCCATTTCATTCGAATGAATCCTGAAAGATTTGGCCCAAAAGCGTGATCTTATAAAACCGCCAAATGCGAATGCTTCAATACCTTCTGGAAAGTGAAGCCACATGAATTAAAGCTGGGCTGGAATTGGGTCATCCTTTACCACAGGTGGGGCGGTACGCTTCATAACCATAAACCGAGGGGAAACTAGTGTTTTCGCTTGTGGGCAGCAGCGAAAAAGGCCTGGGCAAATACTCCAGGACACTATAAAAACAATCAAAAGTGTGTAAACGGCGCATTCAAAGGGCGCGCAACTCGTATACCGGGATTAGCTCAAACAGAAGACTGGTTTTAATAATCACCACCGAAAGGCTAGAGTTACACGTCTAAACATACACATCGTCTCGTTGTGATCTTTAGCAAGCTGTCAACGTCAGCCGTCAACCTAAGGTGAAGCCAAATATTTGTGTTAAGAGCCCTGCAGACGTTTGAAAAAAAGTGAGGCGAACACCAATTTATTGATATAAAGATATTTGAGAATTTGCTGTGATTTGTTTCCTTCCTCAAAGTACTCGGGAGTAATGCGTTTATAAAGGACTTCAGACTAAGGGGAGCGCGCGATCAATCTGGGCATTTGGACGTAAGCTCGAGCAATAATAATTTCTTTTATGGCGTGTTAGACAGGATATGAAAAGCAAATGTAGGCAAAATCCTATTAGTTCGGCCGTAAGTGATCCCTGGAGTCAGAGCGCTGGTGACTTTAAAGTGGCACTGAACTTAAAGGAGAAAAAAATATAGGAGCGAAGGGGGGAAAAAAAAAGAGAGAAAGGAAAGCGCTGAGGGTCAGGGTTATTTTCAAATGGGATTGTGTCTGACTTCATCAGTTAAGGGTGAGTGTTTTGACTGGTAACTCCTCCTACATCAGATGGGGCCGCAGGAACCATGGCATTCCATCTGCTCCTGTTCTAAGCAAAGCAAACTGGGAAATGTGAGCCAGGTGTGGGTGTGTGTGTGTGTTTGTGCTACCGCAAACGGAAAGGTGATAGGAGAAAAACAGCAGGCGTGTTAATGCCAAAGCCTCCAGCCCGCAGGGAGAACAGCGACATCACCTCTTAACCGCTCAGAAAAACTGAAAATAAATAAATATCATGTACTTTAAATATGTATATGTATATATATATATATATATATATATATATATATATATATATATATATATATATATATATATATATATATATATAAATAAATCATATTTCAAGGATTTTGCTGTTTATTTTAACTAATGATTTAAATAGTTATATCTAAATATTTGACATTCATGCTAAATAATTAAAATGGTTTAAGGTTAGAAATACAATCATCAATGAATCATGCAATATGAATTTAAATAGAATATTTACACAAATTTAACTCGTGATCTCATTGCAGACTGCAAAAAATGATTAATTCATAATAATTATATCTAAATATTTTAAATTAATTCTAAGTAAATAATTTAAAAACCTCAAATTAAAGCTAGAAATACAATAATGAATAAATCGTGTATTTGTTAAATTTCAATTTAAGCAAAGAATAGTTACACTAATTTAAGAAAAACATTTTTTTTTTACCCGACCTTTAAAATGAAAGATACATTTACTTAAATTTAAGGTAAATACAAGAGGAAATCAAAGCTGATAATTATAATAAATAATAATCTAAATATGACCTGAAAGAAAACATATTTCTGGCATTTGATAATTTATTACAACTAATGATTTTATTGCTGAATGCAAAGTTGGATGAATTTAATAAGAATTATATAATATAAAATATATATAATATATAAATATTTTAAACTAACATTGATTAAAAAAATTAAACTACTTAAAATTATATAAAAGCATTATGTAATGAATGTTTCATGAATTTCCTAAATATGAATTTAAATATCAATAATATAAAACAACTTGCAGCTGACATGTTAATAATGCCTTAATAAATCTAATAAATATAACATTTATTAATAAATAACATATTTAAATAATAAAATCAACATCAAACAAGCTCTTAATAATAAAATAATATACAAAATACATTAAATAAATATTATCAATTAAAAAATGTAATAAAACATACATTATTAATACAAGCAGAAAAAATAAGTCAATCGTTGCACTTGACATTTACCATAAACTAAGCTCTTAAACATAAAAAAATTTACAAAATACACTAAATAAAAAAAATCATCAATTAAAAAATGTTTTTAAAATATATATTAATTATACAGTTAAGCAGAAAAAAAAAAACATTCATAAATCATTGCATTTGGCAATTTAGATAAACCAAGATCTGAATAATAATAATTATATAGAAAACACATTAAATAAAAAATACATTGAAATAATCTATAAATATATATATTATTATTAAGCAGAAAAAATAAGTCAATCATTGCACTTGACATTTTTCATAAACTAAGCTCTTAAACATAAAAAATTATACACAAAATACATTAAATAAAAACTAAATACATGAAAAAAAATCCATAAAAATAAATATTATAATTATTATTATAAGCAGAAGAAACTAGTAAATTGTTGCACTTGATATTTTTCTACAAAGCTCTTAATAATAAAATAATATACAAAATACATTAAAGTAAAAATAAATGCACTGTAAAAAAATCTATATAAATATATATTATTAAGCAGAATCAAATCTAATAGTAAATTGCACTTGACATTTCCGCAAACTAACTGATTGTTTTCTTCCACTTCAGAGCAAAGACAGAGAGAGGAAATCCGCCCTGAGGAGTTAAACCACGACGTGAAGGGATTTAAAACCCATCAGCATCACCAGTGTGTCCAGAAACTCTTGACTGCAGATGCTGCGATGTTGTGGTGTACATATGCACATATCGATTCATATTTAATTATTTGTAAATGGCCTTTGGACTGGATTGTTTTTACTGGAGACGACAAAAAAAAACAACAAAAACACACATGTACGACTGGAAAAAGACCAGACTGCAGCGACTTGATTACGCAAGAGCTGAACAAGCGGACGAAAGTCACTTTTTCTGCGCATACACACCAGAATCTGTGCCCACAGGATGATCGGCGAAAGCTATCGACCAAAGAAGAGGACTGCATTCACACACAAAAACACAAAGAATGATGATATATTCAAAACTGATCAAAAAAATGAGTGAAAAACTGATATGTGGCATGTTTTTTTTCCATTAAAGACCTGAAAGACACTTAGCCTGACTATGAAAATGCAGTAAATTCCATTAATGCAGTATACTGTATGTCTAATATGGCAAATTACATATATTCTTCATGGTTTAAATTAAAATGACTGAACAAACGGACTGAAATCTACATGCATTCTTCATTATTTAATAGGTTTTCCATATAAACATCTGGTATTTTAACGCAACACCTCGATGCAGCTACACAAACAGTCTCTGGAGATCCACATTTGATCATTGCAGTAAATCATCTCTCATGGTGTGTCGTCTAAATGTAAATATTTGACTTTCATGTTCTCTTTTCTGTTGACGTGGTTTATTCTTGCTAAGGTTTAGAAACACAAACGCATCCAGAGACACTTGTATTGTCTTATATTTCAAAAGCGCAGACATAATATGCCAGATTTATATAATAATTTGGATCATATTTTTGATCTAAAGCAGTGACTGTCAACTAGTTATTCATATTAATGTTTATAGCCCAGATATTCTGTATTTGCGTCAATTAATTTAACAAGTGGGAAAAAAGCATTTTATTCCACCACAAAAAATGGTATAATTACAAAATGCTTATAACATTTGATGCCTGTGAGGTTGGTAATGTACACTCACTGGCCACTTTATTAGGTACACCTTACTAGAACCCTGTTGGACCCCCTTTTAGAACTGCTTTAATCCTTTGTGGCATAGATTCAACAAGTTACTGGAAATATTCCTCATGATAGCATCACGCAGTTGCCGCAGATTTGCCGGCTGCATATCCATCATGCCATTCTCCTGTTCCACCACATCCCAAAGGTGCTCTATTGGATTGAGATCTGGTGACTGTGGAGGCCATTTGAGTACAGTGAACCCATTGTCATGTTCAAGAAACCAGTCTGAGATGATTTGCGCTTTATGACATGGCGAGTTATCCTATCGGACCATTCTCTGTAAACCCTATGGTTGATGGTTGAGCATTAAAATCAAAGTAAATCCGCAGATTCTGAAATACTCAGACCTGTCACTTAAAAGTCACTTAAATCCCCTTTCCTCCCCATTCTGATGTTCAGTTTGCACTGCAGAAGATCGTCTTGACCATGTCTACATGTCTAAATGCATTGAGTTGCTGCCATGTAACTGGCTGATTAGCAATTCGTGTTAACGAGCAGTTTGACAGGTGTACCTAATAAAGTGGCCGGTGAGTGTTTGTGGCTAGTAATAGAAATCACTTTTTCATTCCAATTTAAACAAGTCTATATTGATGGTCAGCTTTAGATGAATAATAAGAGACATAACAATATATATTCATTTATAAGTCATTATTATTAATAATTTAATGAAAAGCTGAAAGTAACTATCATTAGACATGTTCATTTAGTTAAGACACTTTGAAATGCATTTTATTGTATCCTAAAATTTCAGTTAAGTTCATTTTTGGATGTCAGACTAGTTTACCTAGTTGACTACTGAAAGGGACATTTGTCTTTATTTGTTGATGAGGGATTGTTGATCAAATGCTGGGCTCCACACAATTCCTTTATGTTGTCGCAACACAAATCATTAAGTTAATTTAAATTATTTTACAAACGTAAATGCAATAAACATAAAACAATTAAGTTGTCCCCCCAAAAAACCTATAACAATTGAGTTGATTCAGTTCATTTTAAATTAGTAGCAAAAATAATTGAGTGTGAGTTTACTGACTTTTAGGCAATCCCTGTTTAAAGTGTGGCTACAAGTTTTCCTTTCAGCTAAAACTACAAGATCAAAAATAATTCCTCAAAAGTGAAGATGTCATCTTTAAACACGTGTCCTTATCACAACTTGAGGGTTTCTTTTTATGTTGAAGCACTTGCCAAATTCCTCTGGATTACTTCCTAATAAGACCTTCACAGACCTCATTACTTTCCAAAAAAAAAAAAAAAAAATGCAAAGACGTTGCAGATTTGCTGTTCCCAAAGGCATTGTTTGGATCTGGTGCTTTTAAAAGTGATTTGTTGACTTTAAAAAATTAAAAAGAATACAGCCGTTGCATTAAAAGTTACAATAGCTCTGTTTCCATCCAAAAATGTGAACAAACTTTATGCACAAAACTAGATTATCTCATAAAAGACGTGCGAATAAAGCAGCGTTTCCATCCAACGAGTCAAAGCGAACAAAATCGTCACTTCCTGATTAACTCAGGCCAAATATCAAGTGTAAGAACGTAATTTGCTGCACTAGGAGAAGCAGCGTCAATCTTTTCTTCATCTAATAAATGACTTGCGCCTCAGAAGGCTGTCCTGACACGCAGTGAACGCCCGGTGGTGGTTGAAGGTGTCAGACGCGGAGCACAGACGCTCTTGATTCTGGAGGTGCAACACTAATAACACTAATACTGAAACGGTAAGGCATTTTAGAATGACCAAATCAACAGTTCAGATGTTTAACAGTGTGCTCAGCCTGCTGATTTGTCCATTCACACACATTTACATAATCACATGATCTCTTATCACAAAATCACATGACCTTTTTTTAATGCGCATGCTGGAGTTTGTGCGGTAAAAGTGTTTCCATCGTCTTTTATGCGCATCTTTTCTTATCGAATAAAAAGTTTATCCTACTGAGTTATGCGCATACATTTTTTTATGCGCATTTTTAAGATTTGTGCGCATCATGACGTTTCCATCAACTTTATGCGCATATGCAAAAAGCGCATAAAAATAGGTAGATGGAAACAAAGCTAATGGGTTTACTCATTTTAAGGTAAAGTGATTAATCGCTTTTTACAGTCTGGCTTAGGCATGGGATGATAACTGGATTCAAGGTATACCACGATGTGGAAAAGTCCAGATTTTAAAACCGCAAAAAATTTCTGTTGTATCGTTCCTAATGTATGCATAAAGGCTTTCATGTGTTGTAAAGAAATCTGTGTTTTGTAAACTAATGAACGCAGCAGAAGTCAATGATTTATTTTAATTATTTAGCCTGATGTTTGCCTTTCCAAAATATTATGAATGTAAATATTGTAAAATGAAGTACTGTATATCGTGTTCAATGTGGGAGAAATGTGTTGTTTTTTTTACGGAGACTTTCACAATCACAATCCCGTGATAGCTTGAAACTGTGATATTTATATCCAAGGTTATCACAGTCACAAACTTATACCGGCCCATGCCTAGTCTGGCTGCAGGTTTTCTTTTCAGCTTTCCTGAAACTAAACGGACAAAAACTTTAAATCATCTTTAAACAGACACACGTCCATATCACAACTTAAGGGCTTCTTTTTATTTATTCCTTCAAGCACTTGGCAAATTCCTTGACATTTGAACATTTCTTTGGATTTTTTCCAAATAACAGACCTTCACAGACCTCATTGCCTTCCAAAAAAGTGCAAAGATGTTGTATATTGGCTGTTGGTAGTGGCATTGGTTGAATGTGGAGTGTTTTTGGAGTCAAACGAGAGGACAGGAGGAAAGAAAAAAACAGACGACAGCAGCGACGGCACAGTCAGGCCTGTCAGACAGACAGCTGCTCCTGGTGGCGGAGGCGCAGATGGGATTCACAGGTAAGCTTTTGGCAGAGTCCAGACCGAACAGAGCCAAGAAAAGGTGAGAGGAAGTTCGGACAAATTTCATCTTGGTCTTGAAAATTTTCAGCTCAAGTATCGCCTTCAACACCTCTGAAAACTTACTCGGTAAAACTAAAACCACTTCATCTCTCCTCTTAGATAAAAACCAACACTTTTTGCTTTGTTAAAGATGTAGTTCAAGCCAAAAAAAAAAAAAAAGATATTTACACCCTATTTACTCAGTTTTTTTTATTTACCCATTTACTTTAAGTGGTTCCAAATGTCTATTTTTCTGTTCAACATGAAAGAAAACATTGGAAACCGATAACCATTTACTTTAATAAAAAGAATATTATGATAGTAGATAGTTACCAGGCTTGGCGATATGATAATCTCAACACAATATCAGTAATCTTATATCCAACTAACGATATACATCACAATTTGGATGGATGGATGGATGGATGGATGGATGGATGGATGGATGGATGGATGGATGGATGGATGGATGGATGGATGGATGGATGGATGGATGGATGGATGGATGGATGGATGGATGGATGGATGGATGGATGGATGGATGGATGGATGGATGGATGGATGGATGGATGGATGGATGGATGGATGGATGGATGGATGGAATGGTAGATAGATATAACGATAGATAGACAGACACAGATAGATAGATAGATAGATAGATAGATAGATAGATAGATAGATAGATAGATAGATAGATAGATAGATAGATAGATAGATAGATAGATAGATAGATCAAAATGTTTGCTGGACCAAGATTACGGGGAAAAGAATCCAACAAACCCTATGGATTATGGAAACAATCACATACGACCCTTCATGAACAGCTAAATACTGTGTGTGGTGGGTCCGTGAACGCGGAGTCACCCAGTCATCAACGTAGGGTCTCACAGCTTGGCACTGGCAGGTCTGCCTTGCTTTCGGAAAGCAAATGCTCTCATGCATAATTAAGAAGCAGGCTCTTCCTATAGGATAGGGAAACTCCGCTATGAATAATGAGAAACCGACGCGTCATTTTTGCACTTGCAGGTCTGCTCTACGTCACCAATTTTAATCCGCCCCAAAAATAATTTTAAACCCGGAAGATGAAATTAGCAGACAAAAGCTCAAAATAATCCAGTTTACCCCACAATTAAGGCAAGTGCTAACATTGTCTTAACTGATGCTCAACACACACAAATCTGTTAAAACCTCAAAAAAAGTACTCAAGGGTTTCTCTAACCTTTAATGCATTTACTAACATGAACAAACAATGCATTCCTTACAATATTTGTTCATGTTTGTTAATGAAAACACAGTTGTTTGAGAGTTCATGCTAACTCGCAGTGCATTAATGTTAACAAGCATGAATTTGGATGTTAATAAGGCATTAGTAAGTGTTGAACTTTCATTAATTAATGCTGTTCATGTTAGTGAATACAGAAACTAATGAAAACCTTATTGTAAAATGTGACCGACTTGTGTAGCATAAAAAAAATTGCGATTAATCTCCTGACTGTTTTTGCAGTTATTGCTTAAAACACTCAACTCCAGCACACAAAAGCGCTGC